TATTTCCCACGGAGGACGAGAAATTCAAACCGCAATTTGAAGCGCGCGCTTCGTATCAGTCTAGCTATTAATTGTTGATTTAAGCAGTTTTTTCGCCTGTAGTCTATTTTTAAAATTGCTGCTCGCCGAAATTGGCCTCCGATTTCGTCGTAGGCGTTTTTTTTACCGCTTCTTTTTTAAATCAGCTAACTTCTCAAAGACTTTAAACTACGCTTTTAAACAAGGAACTGCTGTGAATCTTATTTGACATACTCTGTCTACCATACACTTATTTCTGTTGTCCATAACGTTTTCACGCAGAGGGCAAAGATTACACACTTAGTATATATTCTTACCAGAGCATTTAGTTTGTAAAGAAGGAGGGCCCTTGAAAATTAAACATGCAATCTATTTATTTGAATGCTTGACAACAGTGGGGATTCCAACAACGTTGGCGAAACAGAGCGAAATTTGCAGCTAGGCCTACGCGAACAGAACTGACGGCTCGGCGACTGGACTCAAACAGGCCGCTTGCAACTCATATTTGAGAGACTGGCCACACCTAACTATTCAAGGAGCGACTATCGTAGGCGGAAGAACCTCAGGATTACCAGCGTTTCACACCGTGGGGAAGAATCCCAACACCAATTGCCGTTAAACTTTGCCGACATACAAGGACGAGGCAGAGAACGAGGGAAAAAATCGATAAGTCCAAAGCCGAAAAGTGCAGTCACACATTCAAATTGTTGATCGATAATGGCAGTATACGCTTGGACAAATGAAATTCAGCCCAGTTCTCCGAAACGTCAACGAAGACTAACAACCGCTCCGGTGAGCTTTATCTTGTTCTCAGATTCCAATGCCGGAATTCTCCCTTTTTAAAGTACATACATATTTTAAATTTCTATCAATGAATCTCAGATAGTATCACATTTATACGTAGATCTATTTTATTGGTTCTGAATTCCTTCTAATTTCTTTGGTTCGGAAAAGGACATGATGTCAAAAGATGGAGTTGTAGTGCAGGATAGGTAAAATGTATATTTTATAAAGTTGTATCTTAAGTACAGTTAGAGCGTAACTGTTAGGTATGAATCCACATTAGCGAGTGGCTTTCGACAGCAGCTGTCTAACGATGGGAGATTAGTCAATTGTATCTTTATAGCCCAGTCACAAGTCCTTTACTGACGGTGATTATTTCATTTCGCTATCCTCGAAAAGAATAGGGAAGTTTGTTGTGGATAAATATTATGAGGATATGTTTTTCGATAAGAATGCGATAACAGTGTGCATATTAGTTATTGTGTGCTCATTATACGCATAAGCGAGTTTAAAATAGTCAGCCTATAGAAACGTTTTGCCGTGGTTGATATGTTTGGCAGGTCCTAGATATATTTGAGGTAGAGAAGTGACCTAAGATCGTGACCTGGAATAATCCAATAGTGATGGGAGATGGTTAGTGACTGCATTTCAGATGTGCATTACTTCATATCAGTTGAGTAGGTAGGATTTTAAAAAGTCCATATGCATGGCCAAATGCTATGGCTTATGAGTTTTATTATATGTCGTTTGTTGTGGACTTTTTTATAGACCTTTTTGAGATCGAGGTATATCATGGTTATCGTGTTTGCGTTATAACTTACTGGAAATGAATCGCGAAAAAATGCTATGGCAAGACTAACATGACCTTTCAGGTAAAAAATACATCTTCGCAGAGAAGTATGAGGTTTGCAAAATAGCTTTCTAGGATTTTGAAATTTGACGACGATTTATGCACATCACGATAGCCTTAGGTATTAGATCGGTTACTGTGTCTATGCAACGCTCTAGCATTTCCATACGCCTGAGACGACTGCCTCAAACGAAGTAATAAAAATAGTTTAGAGACGATAATTTTGGCATATATCATATGTTTCGACCTTCACATTGTATGATTTAGGCTAGCTACTGTATGCATGATGGTTGCTTTCAGTAGATTTATGTAGTTTACTTCGCCAAAAAATCTCGCTAAGGCAAAGGCTTTTTAAGTTCTCTTGGCCGTGGGATCCGTCCTTCTCAGATGGTATATTTCGCGGAGAAGTACTCGTTGAAAGGATTGGCTGTTTGTTTGTCCTTTGTTATAACTTCTCTTGAACCCGCGATACTTATTTGAGGTCGTGATTTTCGTCGATCATTCATTTGCTTCCGAGTTATGTATGTTTTTCGCTCAGGAGGCTCTACTGCACGGTGTTATGCAGCTATATTCATGTTTGTTTTTAAGTTAGTAGTTAGGTCATGTACTTCTCTAATTCTTCGCATTGTGGCTAGGCAACTAACACAGGGGTCGTGCAGATGTTTACTGATTTTTTAAGTCGTTTTGATAAGAAATTTGGTAATTATCCTTTTGTAATGATGAGGCCCTCTGTGCCTTAAACATGCAAATTTATTCATTATGTATTTAGGTGGGAATATTTCGTCTTCTATGCTGTCTCTTTTTGCCCGAGATATAGAAATATGTATACTTATATACCTACTATATAATATTTAGTAGGCGTAGTTATGTTTACTATTGCACCCAAAAATAGGAAATATTTAGCTTCTCGTAGTTACTTTTGGTTTAAGTAGTTTTAGTTTTAGCTTAGCTTTCAGTTTATTGTTCAGTTTATCGGATTAATTTTATTTATAATTTTAGATAGCTTAAATTTTAACCCAATTTAAGTTCTTAAGCTACATATGGTTGCTTTTCGGCGTATAGTACTACAATGTAGTCACCGACGCCACCAAAGCCGCAATCGCCCGAAGCGGAGGATAGCATAGAATATGAGAATATTTCCTTACGACTGTGATTTCTTCTACGCGTCCAAGCAAAACATCCATACGCACTCTATTCCAGGCCCTTGCACCTTCGGCCTTCCGTCTCTGGGGCTGACGAAGAGAATGGCTCGAACTGTCCGGATCTGCTGTTGTGGATCGTCGCGCGTGCAGAAGCAGCGTGCGGGACGTCATCGAGGCCGGCTACATCAATCAGGACCTCAGTCGCAACAAGTGCAAGTACCTACCTGCGACACCAGTTTGTAGTCTTGGTTGCAGTTTGCCCCAGGCTACTGCACTAAGGAATATTTAAACAAATGTGTGGTACATTCAGACT